GTCACGCTTTCAGTAATCTCGATCAGTTAGGATTATTTTTCAGAATTCGAGCATTCCAAAAAAAACTATTACTGTTTTTATGCAGAAGTTACACTAGACTAAAGTTCTGGATAGAAAAATTAGCTTTTATGTGGAGAGAAACCCGAGAAAACAGACTTTGAAAGTAGCCCTCGGCCGACCTCGAAAGTCGGCGTCTTTCACTGATTTGGGGTCGATGGACAAAAATTCGCATAGCGGGTGGAAAAAAGAATTTAGAACAATTCTAACTGCAATTTTGTAGTGAGGATAGATAGTACTTTCGATGGTAGGAATATAAAAGAAATCTATTTTTCGAGCCYAGATCGAGTGGCACGCTGTTACAGAGACGCCCTCTTAACACTTACAATTGCTTTCTTTCGCTCTATCCAGGCTGGTAAAGGTACGTAAGACCCACCTCGAATTGGTACGTACCGCGCCATGCTTATTTTCATCTCCACTATTTCGATTACTGCCCATCCCGATCCTTCTCTGGTGTAGTTTGAGAGTGTCTCTAACATACCCTCGAGGACGGTCGACAAAATCGGTGCTAGGTTAGTAGACTGTAGTACTACTAATGACTTGGAGCGTAGCCAGACCGTAGTTTCGACGTCATCGCCCTTAATTAGGTCTAGTTCTACCACAGTGCTTGCCTTCATCGCACCCAATTCCTTAACTCCCTTCGCTAAGATCTTCCTCCTTCTCTCTCTGGTCTTAGACCAAAACTGTCTGAGGTCAACTTCTCCTGCGCCGGGTATGGAAACGGTGTTGAAATTAGATCGTGACTCCATATATAATAGGAAATATCTTATACTTTATATGAGGTCATCGTAGTCGTATGTGCAACTTTGACAATGCCAATACAGTCTCACACGGGTCTCAAACTCCTTTCCACACAAACATTCGTAAGACTTTTTGCATTCTCTCTTTTGCATTGAAAGGTGCTTGGTTAGGTCAGCCTTCCTTTTGAATTCCCTCTCACATCGTTCGCMCTTCATAATATATGTTAGCATATTTAATGGCATTCGTTGGTGGCTTCTTTATTTCATTGGGTATTCACGGTCTCAAATGGGTCGTGGATGGCGGGAAGATCCCGTAATCTCTTGGTGAAATAACCCCGGGCCACGTTGCTCTCAAAACCCGAATGAAACCGGGGCGTATGCTTTTAAGGCGGGTCATTTCGGGGTGGCGTGTGAGTTGGGACCCCCAACCCCTATACTACTTTAGCAGATGGAATTGCAAACAGCAACTGTTTCGTTAAATTTGAATTTGGTCTTCTACAAACATGTGCAATGTACTTCAAGTAGCGTATGCATATAAAATCACGAAGTGCCAGGGTTCCCACTATTCTCTCCAGGTCTAAGTTCCTATATTTAAAGGCAAACGTTTCTTCTCCGTCACTATTCATTTTCCTTTCCCAGCCATTCCGTACCATTCTTCTTAGTAGACCAAACCAAGAGGATTCAAGCTTTTTCAATTCATCTTCATTTGGCAGTTCAGCCTCAGTACAGTAAGTAAGTCTGGATCTGATACAGGATTCCAAGAGTTTTCTGCGTGTATTCATAGATACTTTATGATCTGTAAGGACGTT